CAATTACGATATGAGGATAACATACAGGTCGCCTAAAGAGCTTGTATTCGTAAAAGTATGTCACGCTCAAGAAGGAGGAAAAGATGTGTTTTGAAATCAAGGATTCACATACCATGCGATGAATGTATTGCAAGTAATTTTGATTGTTCTGAAAGGACCGCCTGAGAAAGGAAAAAATGCAAGAGATAATTAATCGTTGCAATTCCAGGTAGACAGCCAAGACGGTAATGGTGAGCAGTCTGTTCATTCTGTAAGTCGGACAGGCACCCAGCTTATCACTCGATAAAAGCGTCACTTATTCAGTAATTCAGTCAGTTTGTCGGCCAGCCAGCGAGTCAGAGGGTCAGTCAGTCTATCCGTCCGTCCGTCTGCCCATTAGACAGCTAATTAGTCGGCCAGCCAGCCAGTCAACCCGGCAGCCAGTCAGTCGGTCAGTCAGTCAATGCATCTGCCCGTTAGACAGCTAACCAGTCAGCCAGCTAGCCAGCCAGCCAGCCAGCCAGTCGGCCAGTTAGCCGTCAGCCAGTCAGTCAATCCATCTGCCCGTTAGACAGCTAACCAGTCAGCCAGCCAGCCAGTCGGCCAGGTAGCCGTCAGCCAGAGAGTCAATCCAACTGCCTGTTAGACAGCTAACGAGTCAGCCAGCCAGCCAGTCGGCCAGTTAGCCGTCAGCCAGAGAGTCAATCCATCTGTCCATTAGACAGCTAACCAGTCAGCCAGCCAGCCAGCCAGTCGGCCAGTTAGCCGTCAGCCACTCAGTCAATCCATCTGTCCGTTAGACAGCTAACCAGTCGGTCAGACAACCAGTCAGTCCGCCAGTCAGCCAGCCACTCTCCAGCGGCCCATTCGACAGCTAACCAGCGTGCGTAAATGTCAGCTAGTCGGTCGGTCATTTAGTCTCCGTCTTTCCTTTAGAAAGCCTACCAGTCAAATGTGTGAGTCAGCTGGTCAGTTAATCGGCCCTCGAATCTGTCACCCACCAAACTAGTCACCCAGTGAGGGGTTAGTCCAAAAAATCAGTGAGCTATACCTGTAACGCCTTGATTTTCATGGCAGGATTAATAGTCTCTCCAGATACCCCGACTGGTTTACAAAAATCCACCTGCCTCTCAATCTCTTCTTCAGACATCTTTGTCACGTCCTTACTGAATGGATTAGGTTCCACATTCCCTTTCTGTTCCTTGGATTTTAAATTCATAATAGAGTTTGCTATCTTATTGAACTGAGCAAACAGCTCCTCCTCCATAATGTCTGTGAATGGAAATAAGAGCAGTTTTATTTAGTTGCTGTAAAGCTGAATTTCAAACCATAACGACAGCCAATCAATACAAATGTTGACGACACTATAACCAGTGAAAATCACAGAATAAACACATCAAATGCGTCAAGCACGGGAAACCGTACGTAACCAAAAGCAATAGCCTATTTCTGAATTTCCTTTAGCCTCTTCTTCAAAATGATATCTGGTCAACCATTCTTATAAAAATGTGTTTAATCTGCCTATCACTGAAAACTTATAATCTTTTGAAAGGATGAGCACCAGGACTCGCTTTGAACAAGAGGCTAAGGTAATTTGGAATGGGCTTTTGGTAACACGATATTTTGTGAGGACATAGTAGGGAAAACCCAAGAAACTCAGTTTGAATCCCATCTGCACCTTTTTTTATAATTTTTTCGGGGAACAGCATTTGCCACTATTCCACTATAGAAAACAGAAATCTCACTTGGAAAAGATGTATTAATCCAGTCCATGGTTTTTTCTTTAACAAGTCTTGTGGTAATATTTGCCGCTGTCGTGACTACCTGAAACAAGCAAATACAATATGTAATAGTAATTGAGCTGAGTGGAGTACAATTTAGTCTGAAATCAGACTAAATTCAAATTTCGCCGCACAATGGCTCCTTTGTCTTCCGTTTTCCCGCAATTTGATTGGTTACTTTAAACAAGTTTTGGCATCTGACTACATTGCCCTCTCATTGGCTGAAGAAAAATGCAATGTAGACAAAAAAAAAGGGCATTTCGTGAAGAAATCGCACTGCCAAGAGCCAATCAGATTGCAAGGATTGCCAGTGATTTGATTTTAAAATGGATGTAATGAAGATGTACATTGCCATTTCCCATATTTGTAAGATTATGTTTAATAAACTTGACCACAGGACTAAACCTTCTTTCCTTTTCTTTCATATCAATTTTTTTTTAAAAATGTATTTCTTTAATAATTTCATTTTCCTAGCCAGAGGGAATGCAAAAACGATAAACACTATGATTACAAACTCAAAAAGCTGAAGTAGATCTTAGAGAACTTGAGTTTGCTACCTGCTTGGGAAGAAGAGACCAAGGACGGAACCCTACCACAAAACACGGTCTAAATTCGACAACCAATCGGTGACGACGTCTGCAGCTACATAGAAGTCATCTTAATGTATTTCTTTACTATGACCTGGAATATGTTGTGAACCTCCTTCTTATAATATGACATCAAAGATGGAGTAAAAAAGGGTTTGCAGTGTTATCATCTGTCCTTACCTTGGGGTTCATTTCCTGAGGACAAAGGCTTTGAAAGGCTTTCAAGCTCTTCTCCTTGGAAGATCTACAGAAACAAAACGTGAGCCAAAGCAATATTAGTTCTATGCGAAATCGGTGCTTCATTTTTTCAAAGTTCTAACATTGTCAAGCAACCTAATTGAATGAAATACTTCAAGCTGCTCGTTAACAATTATTCACCTCGGAGTCGCTGGCTAGTGATGGATATCTACCGGAGCGGTGAGATAAATATGCACCACTAGTCATCGAAACGGAGGAGAATAATTGTTTCAGTATATTCTAAAATAGTTAGATAATATAGCACAAAAACATGACTTTAAATTCATTTATTCCTGCAAAGATGACAACATTNGCATCTAGACCGGTCTAGAAAAAAAGGGTACAAAGAATATAAAAAATTGGCATATAAGACACAGCCATATAATAAACATCTTATTAACCGAGCTAGGTCGGTCTGTATGGGAGAATCTTGACCTCGTTCGGTCTGTACTGGTGGCGACCTCGGTCAAGATTCTCCCATACAGACCTCCCGCTCGGTTAATAAGAACTAAGTAATTGAGCTGAGTGGAGTGCAATATAGTCTGAAATCTTATGTATGATTCCATTTTTTGGAGAAAAGAAAGTTTTAGGAATACTAAATGCAAATTTCGCCGCACAATGGTTCCTTTGTCTTCCGTTTTCCCACAATTTGATTGGTTACCTTAAACAAGTCTTGGCAGCTGACTACATTGCCCTCTCATTGGCTGAGGAAAATGCAATGTAGACTAAAAAAAATGCATTTCGAGAAGAAATCGCACTGCCAAGAGCCAATCAGATTGCAAGGATTGCCAGTGATTTTGAAATGGATATAATGAAGATATGCATCGCCATTTCCCATATTTGTAAGATTATGTTTAATAAACTTGACCACAAGAGTAAACCTTCTTTCCTTTTGTTTCATATTAATTTTTTTTTTGAAAAATGTATTTCTTTAATAATTCCATTTTCCTAGCCAGAGGGAATGCAAAAACGATAAACACTATGATTACAAACTCAAAAAGCTGAAGTAGATCTTAGAGAACTTGAGTTTGCTACCTGCTTGGGAAGAAGAGACCAAGGACGGAACCCTACCACAAAACACGGTTTAAGTTCGACAACCAATCGGTGACGACGTGTGCAGCTACATAGAAGTCATCTTAATGTATTTCTTTACTCTGACCTGGAATATGTTGTGAACCTCCTTCTTATAATATGACATCAAAGATGGAGTAAAAAAGGGTTTGCAGTGTTATCATCTGTCCTTACCTTGGGGTTCATTTCCTGAGGACAAAGGCTTTGAAAGGCTTTCAAGCTCTTCTCCTTGGAAGATCTACAGAAACAAAACGTGAGCCAAAGCAATATTAGTTCTATGCGAAATCGGTGCTTCATTTTTTCAAAGTTCTAACATTGTCAAGCAACCTAATTGAATGAAATACTTCAAGCTGCTCGTTAACAATTATTCACCTCGGAGTCGCTGGCTAGTGATGGATATCTACCGGAGCGGTGAGATAAATATGCACCACTAATCATCGAAACGGAAGAGAATAATTGTTTCAGTATATTCTAAAATAGTTAGATAATATAGCACAAAAACATGACTTTAAATTCATTTATTCCTGCAAAGATGACAACATTTTCGGGCGCAAATCCCGCGCAAGTTGCTTGGAGGTGAACAGCAAAGGCTAGTTCGGAGTTTGAGTAACCAATCAGAGAGCGCTCTCAACGCTATCCACTGTTTTAGTATAAACTAATTTACGTCATATCTAAACTGGACTTCAAGTCATCCAGGCATTAAAAACTACCTGGTTCTACTAATCAAAAATACTTTAATTTGAAATGGAATTACAGATAGCTCATCTACTCGTGCTTGTTATCAAGGATGCAAACATAGGTCTGAAATTTCTCACTAACTCCACGGACTCCAAGGCTGTTTTCACACCATCATCAGTCACAGAGTGAATGATCTTGAGGACATGAGGCCTGCACTTTTCCTAAAAAACGAAAATAAAAATCCTCATGTTCATTCAGTAGAATAAAGTCAAACATAATTCCATACCTCAAAGTCTTCTTTGTAGTTGTGTCTTCGTTGGGGGACGTAAAACGTCTATACAAGTAGTGTGGTAAACGTTCTGATTAAATTTAGTAAATTTGTCAGATTAAAAACTTTACCAGGAAGGGTTTGCGAACAAGTGCTTTACGTCAAACTTTGTGCAGGTTACCAGCGGTCTACCTCTTATAGCAGTCTATTGAGCCTGCGCACAGGCTCTTGTATTTGGGTATTTTTCCATCATCGGCAGCGGCTTAAGGAAAAAGTTATTGAAAACCTTACTTTTTAATTGCTCAGACTTACCCAGTGTACGTATTAAGTAACTCATACTCGAACTGAAAGACGTTGTAGTGAAATTTTTTGCTTATTTTTTGCACCAGAATTACCTATCATTATTAATAGCTGGCAGCGCCCTCGGGCAAGATGAAGCGGGTCCTGTGTTCTGATTGGCTACACGAGCGGGCATGAGCTCGGGATTGCCCGCTTTGATCCCGCGAAATAAAAAACGGGCATGAACCGGACCTACAACCTTCGTAACTTTTGGACAATGTCGGCGACGAAGTCGCAAAAAGTGACAGAAGAGACAATAAAAACAAAACAAAACAAAAAATAGATAAATCAATAAATAAACGACTCCCTTGCCTTTATTGTGCGACAAACACAGTGGCTTTCTTTCCCGGCTCTCGAAATAAACCAGGCATTCTTGAATCTTACTGAAGCGAAATGTTTTTGCCATATAATAAAACCAAGCTTGTTGAATCAAGATGGCTGTATGTAAGTCACGAAAAAAACTTAACTAAAAAAACTTAACTAAAAAAACTTAACTAGGGCTAAGCCAACATCAAGCCATCTTGACCTAACGCTTGGTCAATAATGCATATTATTATATGGCTGTGTCTCACAAAGATTGGGTACTTCCGAATTCACGAATTTGATTGGCTGAAATCAATATTGAAAGCAGTCTAGATTTTCCCAACGAGACCGGCATCTAGACCGGTCTAAAAAAAAAACGTACAAAGAATAGAATTAATTGGCATATAAGACACAGCCATATAATAAACATCTTATTAACCGAGCTAGGTCGGTCTGTATGGGAGAATCTTTACCTCGGTCGCTGGTACAGACCTCACTACGTTCGGTCTGTACTGGCGACCTCGGTCAAGATTCTCCCATACAGACCACAGACCTCCCGCTCGGTTAATAAGAACTAATAAATTGCATTACAAACATCAGTCTTTAAAAAACTTTGGTTAAATGGAAAGATAAGAAATCCATGATGAAATCAGCAAATTTACCTTCGCCTGATAAGTGTTGGTGTTTGCAGAGAATTCACTATCCAAGAACGCCTGAATTCTCTGAACTCCTTCATTCAAAAGGGAGGGTTTTATGTGAGATATAATATTGCTGCATAATCTGAAATAAACAAGTCAAAATTTTTAAGCCTGATTTTGGAGGCCAGTCTTATTTTATAAGACTCCGACGAAGGGCTAACGCTCGAAACGTCAGCTTTTGTAATCGTTACGGTGGCCAATTTACCATTTCAACTTTGTTGATATATCCAAATTATTTCGTTACTCCCACCGACGCATCCCCTAACAGTTTCTTTAGAAACTATCAGCCTTTATTTTATAAGAGTCAATGTTTTAACTGATCTGGGTTATAAACTGCTAGGTACTCATGGACCGAGTTTGGTCGGAAGCGAAAATATTTGGCTCGAGGACATGAAGTACGAACCGAGCGCTGCGAAATCGTTTCAACTTAATAGGACGCACTTGCATACAAAAGAAGGGCGCGCACTGGACAACTATTAAAAGGTTTTAGAGTAAAAAGTTTTTCTTTTTTTCTTCGAGTCAGAACAAAAACTTCCAATTCTTCGAGAAGCGTAACTCATTCTCCTACTTGTTTTATTCAAGTTGGGGTCCAAAATTTCAGTTCGCGTTTTCGGAAAATGCAAAAGAGCTGTGCGAGTACAGGGCATTCACTTTTGTCTTCTGTGGGTTTTCGCATATGGGGCCGGACGGGTTATTCGATAAAAGCTGATATTGGTCATGAAAGAACCACTTGCCTTTCCACTGTAAAATCAGATAGTCTCTTGAGGAAATCAGGCTGAATGCGAAAAAAGTTTTCTTCCAACTGAAGCTATCAAAAAAAGAAAAAAAAATCATCTGAGCTTGAAACAACATAACATAATCCTTGAGGGGATCTGGCTTCTAATTTCTTCTTAAAGCATCAACTACTGAAGCAAACACTGAATCCAGGAGAATAAAGGAAATGATTTATTGTGTGTAAGGAGAATATACATACTGATGTTAGAATGCAAAGGGTTCACTTTAAGAGTTTAGAAGGCTGAGAGGATTGCCCAAGTTTCTGAACCAATCGCAAAGCGAAGTAAAGCAAAACCAAAGGGATGTCAGACTACACTCATTTGAAAACTGCTCCAACATTCATTGCTTTGATAAAGTAAGATTCCTGTTTTTCTTCTTTTTCAATCAAGGTGATCCAACGGATAATGCCGGATAGGTAGTCACCACAATCAACAACATCCAAAGTGTTTAAGGGAATTTCAAATCTCTCATATAAGCTAATCTTTGGGTATTTTGAGGACTTATGGCTGGCAACGTTTTATCCAATAAAACAACTCCCTAGGATCGTACCGAGGATTAACCCAAACAAATCTTGCCCAAAAAAATCTCACCTGCAGCTGTTTGTGAGAGGAAGATCTGCTGGTTGGTTCGCCAGCAGAAACTGGTGTTATCTTTTTAACTGGGCCTGAATATAAAAAATAGAGTTAAATGCTTGAATCTTAGCAAAACTGACAGAGACGACCTGTCACTGTATTCAAAGGACGTCCATTGGATATCCTCCTGACTGAACGCAGATTAAAAGCAATATGTATCACAGAAATGTCCTTTTTTACATGCTGGAAAAAAAAAAGGAAAGATTGGAGACCTTTCAATTATCAAATGTGAATTTTTGTTATGCGTAAACCAGACGCGGGAGAAGCGGTGGTTCGCTGGACGCTAGAGAGGTCTGGGTTCGAGAGCCGGCCAGTTCTTGGGTAAAGCACTTTACTCCCAAAGTGTCTCTCTTCCTCCAGGAATGGGCACCAGCGAATTGTCAAGCCTCATGAAATGCTGAGGGGGGCGGGGGAGTAGTAGTAATACTCCCTGTCGCTTCATGCTGTCGAAACAAGGACTTGGCTCGGGTACAAACTTTACCTTTTTAAAACCAGATGCAATGAATTGGTGGATTTCAGGAGTCTTCATAAAATGTGGACAGTGGCTCCATAACAATACGTTAAACATAATGTACCTCTACATTTTATCTATACATAAACAATATAATCATGATGAAAAAGTAGATCCAATATCTATTGGGAGTGCTGGAGTTCTTTTTTCTCCAAGTATACATGTGTCATTCACTGAATAACATCATTAATCTGTTCAACATCATTAATCATTATTAATCATTAATCATTATTAATCATTAATCTGTTCAACAGAAGTTGAAGAACTGCACAGTACCTGACCTTCCAGACATGCCAGCTGCTGCTTCCACCAACACTGTTCTTATTACAACTGCACACGAAGAAAAGTGGCTCGGTTGCGATTGCTTTAAATGTGGTATTTTAACACTTCACTGAAAAGTGCTCCATGGGTTACTTATTACACTACTCTATGGTTACTTATTACAAAATGCAACAGTTACTTCTACTTACTAAGGTAAGGACAGCAAACGTAGAGAATGGCTTGGTCCACAATACCACTGGAGTCCTGGTAAGGCGCGCACAAAGAGAAAAAAAAATGGAAATTACACATTTCAGCAGCTCTATAAATAAGTTCACTTCCACGCAAACGTAAATACCTGAGTTGAATCACTAAAATATACCTTCAAAAAGCAATTTTATGCATCTTACGACAGAAGAAATCAGGACTATCACTTGAAAATGAAATTTGTGAACTTTTTTTCATCTCCTTGGAAATACGTGATGCATATTTTCTTTCCCTACCAGACTGGGTTTAGCATCTGAATATTTTCTTTCGAGATCATCTTCAATGTAGTTGTTCACATCTGTCAGGCTTTTGAAGAAGAATGTGGCCGGAATGACTGGTATCTACAAAACATAGGTTTGTGAAAAGTCAAATAACATGTACCGTTACCAAATAATACAAAATAATTTTTAGCCTCTTTGAACTTGGAAATCATATACTTTTCATCCGACGCATATTTAATTATCGATAATGAAGTTTTTTAGCAGAAAGTATGTTAAGATGAAAAGACAATCCACTTTGTCCAAGTTTTTACGCTTTTTGATTTAGGTCACGTGACGTATCAAATATGGTAATAGAGAGATCTAGCTTCGTGGTTACGTGAAAAGTTAACGGCAAGACTGACCACGTGACCTCGTTTCCCCGCCATTTTTCAGTTTTTAACGTTTGCCGGTTTCGCTTGGCTGATACTAGGTAAACATAACTTGTATCGCTTCTGCCGTGAACGTAAGGTTTTCTTCACTTTTCCAGTCACAGAGTAGAAGTTAATTGCCGCAAAAAGGGCACCGAAACTTTTCCTTTTTCGTCCTACAAGGGTGCTTTCAAATCCACAGTGACAGGAACTCACACAAAGCTCAAAAGCAGCAAGGTTCACGCTATATTTTATGTGAAACGTGAAAGGGCAACCTGACGTTTGCCGTTTCACGTAAACATGGTGCATAATCTCTCTGTTATATCAAACAAACTTGACAAACTTTTTGTGCCCACTGGAGTCGAACGGTAGTAAAGGAGGATTTCCTTCGATCTCCTTAGTAGCAAACTCGAGGTTAAGTTTCTCCCCCCTTGATGAGATTTTAATTAAGCAATAACTTCCTCGTCTTAGCAAGTAAGTAAAGGGCAAATGTTGCACTTACTTCAAAAAGCCATCCCAGACATGACATCAAGAGTAACTTGCTATGGTTCAAAACTTTTTTCGAAAACAGAGAAGCACTTTTTCTAAACAGAAGTCAAATAGAATTAATGTAAAAAAAGGAATTAGTTTTGAGTATCCAATTCCCACTTCTGGGCCCAGGCAAACCACTGATCCTATTGGCTAATCACACATACCGATACATTATAACTGCCTCTCTCTGATATATTTTTCTTGATATGTGATTTGCTGATAAGGCAAGCAAAACTCACAACCAAAACGTAATGAGATTGTGTGCAACCTTAACTGACCCTTTCCACTGTAACATCAGTATGCATATTCTCCCTACTGTTCTCTATTCATTTCCTAAGGTGCTGACAAGGAGAATTTGTTTAACACTGTGTCAATCAAAGCTTCCATATCCCCCTGCCAGGCAAACCCCTGTGCTTTTGGGCCAAAATTGTGTTCAACTGCCCTAACTCATGCACCAGATTTGATGGTCACCCTTTTTGTAAATGGCAACCATGACTTTCTACCCATTGACCAGCAATTAATTTTATTATTCACCACTTAAAACCTAGACCTGGTAGACGTTTCTTTACACCTCCATTTTTAAAGATAAAACACTTTTGATTCACTGAAAAGATTTGACACTTCCAGCTCAAATTCCAACCCCTCACTGCCCACAGACAACAAACAAATGTTCGTGGGGGAGGGGGTATTGACTGGCGCACGAGTAAACTACTGTGCACAAACCTGTAAATCCTATAAAGAAAATTGAGGACCACAGAAAAGTAGTCTAGAAGGGGAGCCAAAGGGTCCATCATACTGAGGTACTCTACAGCCCATGGTACTGTAAACACCAGTCTCCCACTGCACTGGGCCTTCTTGAGGTAACTGAGAATGTCAAAGTAAATGGGAATCTAAAAAAAAATATGAAACAAAGAAAACAACATTCAATCAAGAGCCTTGAATTTGAGAATTTGTGTTGGTGAGAGAAGCATCATCAATTAAGCACAGTAACTAGAAATGTATAAATAAATATAAGATTTGAGAATTCCTTGATCAAAATGACCTTTCTTGCTTAACATGTCAATGGGAGCAGTAATGTTATAAAACTGATGTATAATGTGTCACCTCTCAAAGCTAAAAATTTGATAAGCTGACCTACCCTATTCCTTAATTTAAGAGTGTCAGTCACGATTACTTGTGATGAAGTTTCTGTGCCTTGATAAGGCTGGAATAACAAAAACCCAAGAAACTTGGCCAAAATTCTTATTTTCAGTGAACAGCTGGAAAAATCTTGCTTTAGTTCCTAGAAATTAAAGGGAAAAATCAAAGTAAACATGTGTTTGCAAAGCATATAGGAAAGCTCGTAATTATTTTAATATATACCATTACATTGTGGGACAGAAGCCATGGGTAAGGAATGGTGTCAGGGGCGGACCTAGGGGAGAGGTGTAGGGTGTGTGGTTTCCCCCCCTCACCTTAAATAACCAGCAGCTTTCTAATACAACTTCTATAATATAACTATTATAGTTAAGCAAAATCTGTTATATCATTTGCTTTGTATTTTCAGCAGTACAAATTCTGTTATTTCATAATCAAAAGCATTCTCTGTTGTCAGCTTTTAAAATCTATTTGGGTTACTCGCCAGTTATGTCATTCCTTAGTAGTACACCCTCTCCTTAAAATAATCCTGGATCTGCCCCTGGGTTTTGCCATGTCTAGTATGAAAACAAATGTTTTCTCCTTTAAAAATAACATTCAGCAAAGGATGTAACAAACCTGATTTTGAATTGATAATTCTTTGTCACTGCCTTCTTCAATATCTGACAAGGGAAATTCTTTATTGTTGATCTGCAAGAAAAACAAAACGTTATAAAAGATTTGATGACTGGCAATTGTTCCAGTGTAAATTATAACATAACCAAAGTAAAGCGTGCGGTCTGATTGGTCAATTTAGCATCCCTCATTTGCCCATGGGTGTAGGCTGCTGACGTGAGCAATTGCAAAGACTATTTTTCCACGCATGCTTGTTTTTTTCTGGTCATGTAAGATTTGTTAAATAAAAGGGAACTCTTTAGCTACAATGTATCAATGTTATGTTATAAAACAAATGGTAAACACCACAGCATACACCATTGAGTTATGGATGCACTTGGGAGGTTTGCTAAGCACTCAAAAAGCTAGAGTCACTCTCGGCTATCGCCTCGCGCGACTCTTACGCTTCTTTTGTGCTTAGCAACCTCCCGCATGCATCCATAGCTCAATAGTGTATGCTGTGGTGTTTACCATTTGTTAAGTATGTGGTGGTATACTGTCTTCTGACAATTGGGTCTTCAAAAAGTAAATAAGATGGAAAGATGCCATCAATCAGCAATTCAAGTCAATGGTTAACATTCCTTGACCCACCAAAAAAAACAAACATACCTCAGTTATTTTAACAATCAGTAAGTCTATCAGATGCTGATTAAATGAATGACTGCAACAAAACCAATATGCTGAGTTAGAACCATACCTAAGCTGAAAATTGAATGATTTGTTTCCCACCCAGGTATAAAATTCAACATGGAAAAAACAAATATTTAAGAGCAGAAATCAGTCCAGAAATAGTTAAAACTTTAACCCTAGCAATATCACCCCCTGAATCACACGTCAAGGTCAAAAGAATAAAGGAAATATTGAACCATCAAAAGAAGCTTGATTGTTGAACAAATTCCCCTTTATCAATACCTCACAAAATGTATGGAGAACAGTTTGGAGAATATATATGCCAATGTTAGGCTGTAAAGGGTTCAAAGAAACATTATTTTTCTTGTGTTACATATTGTACCTGGCTGCAGATTGTATGAACCCCTTGAAGAATTCTTGCACATTACTAAAACTGGGAGCTGGACATGGGCCTCCAGATGATAATGGAGTGATGAATCTTTCTTGAAGCCTGGCAGCACAAGCATGGCAGAATAATATATTCAATAAATTGGTCAGATGAATTTTTTTTAACCTTTTTACTCCCAGAAGTGATTAACATGTAATTTCTCCTTATAATATTCATACATTATCCAGCAAACAGGTATTTAGAAAAATTAATACTTAAACTTATTAGGTAAAAGTTGTTTTCTTGATCTAACACCAAATTTTCATAACTAATAAATTATACATTCAAGGAAAATAATGAGTTGCAGCTACAGGGGAGAATTAACAACCAGGGTTAATAACCTTCCCTTCAACCCTTTTAGTTAAAAAAATCGATAATGGACCTCAATGATGAAGTATTTGGCAGACTGCTTGGAAAACATGGAGATGACAAGTATAACAGCCTAAGGCTACGAGTACATGATAAAAGGCATTTTTTCAAGAGCAGAAATTAAAAGATTGGGCTCAAATTATGGCTTTCTCCTATCCTTTCTAATGCTTTCAAGTAGAAAAAGTTTGATTGCTTACACAACTAAAACTGATAAACATTTCAATTACCTCTGAAATTTTTCTGGATTTGACTTTTGCAAACTGCTGAGCATACTTGATGAACGAAAATCACTTCTACTCCTCTCCTCTTCACACATCTGTGAAAATACAATAGTTAGCTCTTATTAACCGATCGGGAGGTCTGCATGGGAGAATCTAGATCGAGGTCACCAGTACAGACCGAACGCAGTGAGGTCTGTACCAGCAACCAAGGTCAAGATTCTCTCATACAGACTGACCTAGCTCGGTTAATAAGATGTTTATTATTATATGGCTGTGTCTTTTATGCCAATTTTTTAAATTCTTTGTACCTTCTTTTTCCAGACCAGTCTAGATGCCAGTCTAGATGGGAAAATCTAGACCGCTTTCAATATTGATTGCAGCCAATCAAATTTGTGAATTCGGTAGTTCCCAGTCCTTGTGAGACACAACCATATAATAAAGCACAAGAATAAAGCTCATTTCATTAACCGTTTGACCCCTAAGTGTCACTAGCATCTAATTCTTCTTAGAATTGCATCATTGAATAAAATCTCACATTCTGATTGGTTAACAAAGCGAGGTATTTAGCGTGGAATTGTGAGTTGAAAACAAGGCTAAGTGATATTGTTTCGCATCTACGTAAACATAACAATTTTGAGTGATGCTGTTTCCTTTTTTTACTCATTTTTATTCAGTTACGTGATTCAAGGAAAATCCATTACTTCATTAGTGAGTTCCGCATTAAATTGCACTTGAAAACCTATATCGCACTCATCGCGAATTCCTTCGTCAAGTAATGAATTTTCCTGTACAATATCATCCCTGAATCAAACAAAAAGGTTATGAGAATGAAGAAAATGATCAACAGATAAAGGTCTAAACTGTTAAACAAATTCTCCTCATCAGCACTTTAGGAAATGTACGGAGAACAGTATGGAGAATATGCATGCTGATGTTAGAGTGGAAGGGATTCATGGTCCTGAGCAGGGTTCAGTGTCATGGAGAAGAGAAAATGGAAGGAAGAAAAAAAATTAACACAACAAATATCAGCATAAAAGCCATCAGATGTACTTGTTGAAACTGAGAATTCCATTTTTATTTTCAATTGATTACCTGTAGTAATTGAGATTTAAACAGCCTGGCAAAATGGGAATAATTGGCTAGTTCTGGCTTCTGATTCACCAAAGCCCTGCAAGGTTGATTTTAAGATAAAAAAAAGTTCTCAGTCAAACTTAGTACTCAGTGACAGAGGGGCTCTTAAGTTATCTGTAAATAACTAGCACAAGTAAACAGAAAGTATAAAAGTTAGGCATCACCATCTTCACTTCTGAAATTCCAGTAAGGGATTTAACCTTTCAACTCCCAAGAGTGACCAAGACAGAACTTCTCCTTACAATATCAATACAATATCAAGCAGATAAGTGATGAGAATAAAGGAAAATATCAATTAGAGATCATTAGTTGATCCAACAGCAAATTCTCCAAACCTGCATCATAAGAATTGTATAATACTGTAGACAGTAAGGAGAATTACTAGTGAGATATTGTGAGTGAAAGGGTACCACTTTTAGATAGACACCTGTAATCACCAATAATTATGTTGAATCCTAGCTGTCCAGGGTGGTCAAATTGTTTTTTCTCAATACAACCAATGCAATTCCATGAAAACAAGATGAAAGAATTGGGAAACCTATCAAAAAGGTTACGGTGTTTGGGTGTTAAAACAAATTCTTGTGGCCAGCCATCAAATTAAGAGATAAGCATCTACTTTCTCCTTACAACATCACTCTTGAATCTAACCTTAAGCAGGGACCGTGCAGGGGGTGGGGCTGGGGGGGGGACTTTAGCCCCCCCCCCCTTTTTGGGCTGATTAAATCACTATTTTTTTTTTTTTACTCAGAAGTTAGTCTATTCAGTTAAATTTGGTCAAACGTGAAGGCCAGTTTGTTAGTTGTTGTTTTATAAGAATTGAAAATTAACTTCACTTTTGGCAGTTTTAGATCAATTTCTAGCCATTTCAGAAGACTTTAATTACAAATTTTCGCGGGGGAGCATGCCTTCGGACCCCCCTAGTTGGCTAACGCGTTCGCATTAGCCCCCCCACTTGAAAATCTGCTCCACAGGCCCTGTTCAGGTAATAAGAATATAGGAAATGATCACCAACTAAAGAAGCTCTTGATTGTTAAACAAATTTTCCTTGTCTGCACCTTAGGAAATCTATAGAGAACAGTATGGAGAATGTGCATACTGATGTTAAAGTGTAAAGAGTACCTTATCCTGTCTCCCATGTGTTGTTCCATGTTCCATCCTGCTGCCAAGTGTGAATCCTCCCACTCTCGCACAAGCTCATAAAATACATCCCTGAATACAGAACAATTGACTCAGAGACAGAGTTTCATTGACAGCAACCCTTCTTCAGTTGGCAATAATTTCCTTTATTCTCATAATACAATACAACATATAGCTTATATAGCGCAATGCTTCTCAAAGATCCAGCGGCGCTTTACAATAATAGTGATAGAAAAATATAATCAATTAAGAATTAAAGTGAATTAAAAAAAACTAGTGGAAAATCAATGAAAGCAAAAACTACAACTTCCTAAATAAATGGGTTTTAAGTTCATACTTAAGTGTTGTTAAAAGGTCATAATCTTAATCAATGGTTCAGCATTATTACTGTCAGGGGAAATTAGGTTTAGAAATTAGGTTTAGAAATACAGTCAGTTTAAGTCTTGTTGGTCAAAATAATGAGATCTGGTTTTTCCTGAGCAAGGGGCTAACTTAAAGGATGGCAAATTCTTAGCGGTTATAGGCAGTGAGAAGCAGTTAACCCCTGTATCCTAAAAATGGCCCACATCTAATTTCTTCTCACAGTTTTACTGCTTAATCATTCATTACGATCACGAGAATAAAGGAACTGATCACCAAACTAAAAAGCTATGATTGTTAAACAAATTCTCCTTGTAAATACCCAATTAATCGTATAGAGTAGTGTATGGCAAATAGGCTCACTATAGCAGGGTGTAAAGGGTTGCCAGATATTAGCAGGATGTTAATTTACATAAAAACTCAGGAGTCATTTTTAACTGAGCTGTGAAGCAGTTGTAACATCAAACTTTATCAAATAAATCAAAATTGAATAGTTCTACACCACGCACTTTTATTTCTATTGACATTCTTTCAGGTAAAGCAGTTTATCAGTACCTGCTATAAATACTGCTGTCAATAGAGTACAAAAGAAGTTATCCAGAAAGCAACCAAACTTCTGGATAAATTGTCATTAATTCACTGTGCCAAAAGCTTCTGATCAATGGGCACTTCTGTGAAGCAGTTTTAACCAGCTCATTGCCATTGCAAATGGCACTTGTTTTACCAATGTCTTAACTTTGCTGTTTGGGAAGATTTTAAGATTAATTCTTCAACATCAACCTTTAACAAATAATTTATATGCAATCACTAGGTAGTGATTTCATTGAAGCATTTTAATTTGTTTGTACCACACATGAGCTGATGTGTGGTAGCCAAATGTGATTCCTTTTAAGAACTGTCTGTTTCCTATTGCCACCCCACTTTCTCTCCCCTTAAATTTGAAAGTACTTAAATCATACTTTAAAAATATTGAAGGGAGAACATCCCTTATGTTGTTCTTGGCTAAATTCCTTTGGAAGTGGGCAGAAGTCCTGTCCCCAAGATGGACCACTCATAGGAATTAACTGTCAGTATTCATAGATAGCAAAGAGACTTAAAATTTGTAATTTTTTCAGCCAGCTTTTAATCAAGATGTGGTGCATACAAATAATGTTTCTCTACAAGTTTACTAATCTTGAAGATTGACCATGACTCCCCACTCTATAAATAAAGAAATCAGATAAAATAATGCAGTGAACAACCAGATCAGTCACCTTATTGAATTACTATTTTGTTAAGGTGCCCTGAAACAACAAGAAAGTTCAGTTCTTTTGTTGGAAAACAAATTACTCCAATCACTTTATCATTTCCACTTTTGTGGCCCAGTAGTGGTTGTAGACAGGATTCCAGTGCATTGTAACAAGCAGGATTCAAATTAAATACAGCAAGTCTGAGCAGTTTGCAGTACATCTATAATGGCAATTTTTCTTAATAATTGCGAGTTATTTCAAAAATCTTTCATCTACGTAATTTGCATGTAAATTGAGTGTAATATGGCAGATTAATACACACATGAAACACATGTGTAATGCTACTATTTTGCTATAATAAATACAATATCATGATGAATATGTGCAGGTTAATTATTGACCTGCTAGGTTCAAAATTTCAGGGAGTTCACATGATATCTCTTATTTCTTCTCAAAACACAAATACACTATTACTGACAATATGCCAACAACAAAAACATGGCCATAGATCTGTGGTGCAGATGATTCCACACTAGGATGTGTGGTTGGTCTGGGGCCATCATCCAGTTCATACACACGCCCAAAGAGGGCTGCAGTCAACAATCCCTTAGTCAGCTGCTTCTTGGTTTGGAGATGTGTAACAGGTACACTGTGCTCCCACTCTCCTGGCAGAAGTGATACATCATCAGCCACCACCTGGGGAAAGATATACAGCGTACCAAGTGACCCCCGCAGAGTGAAGGACTTGAAAATAGTGCTTGCATTGTATACTCTCTGCCCACAAGTATTACGCTTTAGTCCCAGACACTTGATCAGGGTACATATTTGCAAATAGTATTGTCCCTCTAAGGTGTGAAGTCCGTCAAAGACACCCAATGCATACATTTCATCAGTGCGTTTCTCAGCCATCTCATAAGTAAGGGAGCAACAAACGCTGCTGCCATTGTAACACACTTTCAAGGTGCCTTCAGGTTTCTTCAGCTCTTTGAAAAGAAACAGATCACAGAACAAGTCTGAGTAGAATGAGTCTTCACCAGCACTGACTTCCTGCATCTTTTGGGCATTCACCACTGGGGCACCTGAAGGTCTGTCCCTTGGTGATTTGGGCAAGGTAGCAACAGACAAGGACCCATTGACAGACAAGCTTCTGTAGTACTTTTTAAAGCCAGTGGGGGTGAAGAGTCCACTCCCAGTATTTAATACCTCTGGCACGTGGGAGTTTGCTGAAAGGAAGTTAACCTGCATTCCCCGAGCCCATGAACCATGGAATCCAATGGCAGCAAAAAGAGGCAGTACGTCAAACCATGCAGTGGGAAAGACAATATGGTCAACTTTGTGTTTGGTCACTAGTGGTATTGCAGGATCTTGAAAGAGAGCATCAAAACAGAGAAATGTTCCAAATTTACCAAAAGGTGTCTCTAAGGTAATAAACTCAGGCTAGAGTGGACGATTAACCACTTTCATCTCATTCAAAAAGGGATGCTGCTTGTGATATCTTGCCACAAGTTTGCCTTTGTCGTCAAATACTACATTAGCATTGTACTGGTATCTTCCATCACTGGGGCAATGTTCATCAGCGCTTTTATTGCAGGGCTTAATATCTCCCATATTCACCACAAGGTACATATCATAGGTTTTCGCCAAACAACTTAGGCGGTATAGAATAGGACTAGAGCTGTTTGCCTGTGGATCTTCACAAGCATTCCAATCAGTCGTCTTTGGATCTGGGATGTCTTCTAAAAATGACTGAAATGAATCTCGAGTGTAGCCAAAGCCTGTCAAGCCATATTCGGGAAAGACAATGATACTTGCATTCTGCAAAAAAGCCAAATGAATATCAAG